GGAACAAAAAAAAAAAAAAAAAAAAAAAGAATACTTTAAATAGAAACCTTGATTAAGGAATGGAAATTTCCTAACATTTAGATTTTCTCTGATGATTTTCAGGCTCCAGGGAACATCCACATCCACACATTGTAGGTTTATCATTACATGGAATACCTGTATCTTAACAACAGCGCCCAGGTTGATCAACTGTTTGGTTATTTCAAATTTATAAAGTGTTCATTGAGAAAAGGAAGAGATTCTTAATACTGGTAGGTAGGTTACCCCCCTCCCCATAGGCGCCTGGGGGTTAGGGATTGTATGTTATTAGATAGGAAAGTTTCCTGAAATAGAATCTGAGTTAAATAAAGATAAAAATACCTTAAAAATATAATAACTTATATAGGTCCTGAATAAATAGTTATCAGATAATTGATTTGGATTCCCATCTTTACATAACAAATAGATTTAAAAACAGTGTCAGCAGCTATAACTTAAACATTTTAACTTAAACCTACAGAATGAATTTTGTATGCCTGAAAAACAAGCTTTGGCACCTAAGACAGTGTAACAAAAATTATCCTCCCTACTTACTTAAATTTAAATGTTTCTCCTAGTTCAGAAGCATTTCCTGGGGAAATTTCAAATATTCCAGAAAAAGGGTAAGGATGGCCACCATAAGCAAATTCTGAAAAGAGAAAACTCATGATTTTTAGTATTTATTACATAAAATTTAGCCAAATGCTGAAGTAGCTTTGATAAATGAAGATAATGATACCATCTAAATATTTTTCAGTTTATAAAATGCTTTCACAAACATCTCATTTAGTTATTACCAGGGTAGAACAATTGTCACAAAAGATTTGAAACTTGAATAAAGGATGACACCCTAAGGTAATCTTGACTGCTATACTGTATTTGCTTACATTGGCAAGAGGAGAGTGACTAACGCTCAAAGGTGAAGTCTGTCTGGTGGTCAGCTTTGTGTTTTGGTACTTTTCAAACTGCCACTTCCATGGATACTGGAATGACATTGAGTATTCATGGTACCTTGAGTAAATATTGTTGATTTTTAAAGGACAACATTATCAAACACAAAACAATAAATTCCCTTCATTCAAGAAAAAAGTAACCTCTAAAATTAACAAGCGCCCCTCCCCCCACAATTCTACACAGTAAATCTCTTACCTAGGAAAGCATCTTTATATTACAGTGCATTTATGTCTAGCTTTTCTGATATAAATTCATCCAGAACAAAAACGGAGAATGATTTCAAATCAGGAAGGAACTAAAGTTTCTGGCTATAATTCATGTAATCTCACTTAGGTATTAAGGAGCCTAAGTCTCATTAAATATTTAAGATTTATTAAATATAATCTTAAAAGGTCTTAAAACAATGCATAGGAAAGAAATGAAGACTCTAAAGTTTACTTTTGAATCAGTCTTCCCAGAAAAAAACCAACATAGATGAGAAGTGTTTAGTATTCAATTTTGAAATATAAATATTAAATATTTTAATGACAGAATTTATAAAAATATTTTAGATAATCATTAGACATGGAAAAATCATACTTGAATTTTTAACTTTATATAAGGAAAGACAGATACAGTTTCATACAAGAGGTTATCATTCACTTCCAAGAATCCATTTGGTCCTAGTTTTGGTGAGTTTACACAGACTTTTAAATCATGTTTAAAATCATGCTTCTACTTATTCCTGAATCATTTTATGAAGGAATCAATGACTCGGGGGTCACAGGGCAATGGATTAGCACACAAGAGCGCTGCATCACAGAGCCAGGCATGGTGACACACTTCTGTAATCCCAGCACTCTGGGAGCGCGAGGCAAAGGAAATGCAAGTTCAAACCTGGTCTGGCCAATTTAGCAATTCGTGAGACTCTGCTTCAGGAAAAAAAAGTTTGGTACAGATGGAGCTCAGTGGGAGAGCCTACAATCCTCAGTACTCCCAAAAACGAAACGAAACGAAACAAAACCAAAAACCTTTGGGTCCAAATCCCAGTTCTACTGGTTATCACCAATAGGATTGTGGGCTTCAGTTTCTTCATTTGAAAAAAGAAGAAAATGCCACATGCTTTATTGTACTTCACAGCATAATCATGTGGCTCAAATTTAATGACATTTTAAAAACTGTTACACACCATCCATATTCAAGTTAAAAAGTAATACAGAAATTTGGCAGAAGTCAGACTAATAAAGAAAGCAAACCCACAGACTATAATCACAGCCACACTAACCACTTCAACTTGCACTCAATGCCACTCAATGCTTCTTGGGATTACTTGGGTAGGTGTGGCCTTTCAAGTAAAATAAAGCTTACATGGTAGATCTTTATAGTCAGGATTTGTTTTATTTTGCTAAACTAAATCCACTAATGTGGAGCACACATGTGAATGAGGTCTGGGGATGTAGTTCAGTGGCAGAGCACCAGCTTAGCAGCGAAAGGCCAAGGCCCATCTTCAGAACGGGTGGGGTGGGGGTGGGAGAGACATACAGTATAAAAACCATACGACACATTTAACATGTAAGTAAATGAGTGTTTTCTTTATTTTACCTAAAGTTGGTATGTAGTCTTCAGGGGTAACCCTGAGTGAACTGCAATCATATTTTAAGTGGCCAAAAAAACTGCCTAGTTGATGTAAATAAAGGCATTTCTGTTCTAAGGTAGGTTTAAGATACAAGATTCAAACTGATATAAGAAGATCATTTTGCACCAAGAATTGGAACCAGAACACAGGAAAGAGCAGCAGAAAACAGGTGTTTGGTTTGAGTGGCTCCAGTTGTGTTTCTCATAATGAAGATAAGAATGAAAAGGGCTGCTTTCAAAACAAAGGCCATCATTCTTGTGCAAAATGCTACATGTAATCAAAGGCAGGATTTGCTCAGTGATACTTTTAGAGTATATAAATACATACTTATAAGTGTACAAAAACCAAATTTATTACTGAAATTCCCTCAGGAAATTGGTATTTCAAGTTTGACACTCTCTAGTACCAATCCCTTTCCAATCAAAATGGTCATTTTTAAAGAACTCTAATATACATTAGAGCACCACAAACTATCACAGGGTGCAACTGCAAAAGACAAACGTTTTTTAAAGACAGAGAATTTAGAATGAAAGAGTGAAATGAATGCGCACTCTTGTATTTGGAGTACTTTTCTCCATATTCTATTTTGGGCATTTTACCAAAACAGTATAAACAAATAATGGGGAAAGTTTTTCCTACTTTCTGCAATAACATATGGAAGTGGTTAAAAAAGAGCTATAGTTCTAATTTTGCAATTCCTTTAATGCGCAAAATCTTCAGAAAGTACAAACTGTGTATACACGTACCTCTACCATACACTTCAATTCCTGAATGAAAAACTCCAATTCCAATGGATGAGGTGTATTCATTCATCCAGTACTAAGGGAGGAAAAAAAGACTCATATTATTCATTCATTTACAAGTCAGATTCATACTACATGAAGCACCTAATCCCATTTCTTGGTATTTTCCCTTCAGAGTTTGAAACTCTGGGTAACAATGAATCCTTGTCTTTGCTTGTGCAGCATTTCATCTGGGATGTCTTCCTGTGTCAAAACAAATGTCTCAATTTGAGTCCAGCACATAAACATAACTTAAGGCTTAGGCAGTAAGCAATAAAACATAAGTCTGGTCAGGGTGGCAACAAATTTATACAAAAGCAAAGCTCTTCTGTTAGTGATTAAAAAAAAAAAACAAAAACAATATACATCAGGTCTGCTTTTGGATCTATTTTTTTTAAACTTTTGCTTTCATTGTCTGGTGAGCTCTCCGAAGGGTAAGGATATTTTATTCTTTTTCAACAAATATTTATGGCAATATATATATATGATATATGTGATATATATATATGATGTGTCATATATATACATATGATATATATGGTATATATGATATACATACTGGTTCAGCTTTAAGTTTATTAATGATAATACACAGGAATAAATAATAAGAAGCACAGAGGTTAGAACTGTTAGCATGAAGAAAAACTTCCCAGAAAAGGCAACATCTGAACCCGGTCTTTAGGAACAAAAGAAAATTCCCCAAATAACTGAATGGAGAAAGGGCGGGCGAACAAGAAGCAGTGGGAGGTGGGAGGTGGGAGGGTGGATGTACATAGGTAACAGGACACCAAGCCAACTGGTCAGAGCCAACCCTAGGCTCCAGCAGTGTTACAAACTCAGTGATTCTCCTAGGTTAGTGGTCAGATTCATCATGTTTTTTCTTTTAGGTTTATTCAGCATAGAAATGTTGGCTCCAGACACCTAGTCAGCTTATTTCCCATTTGGAAAAATGGACATAGGCACTGCTGGAGGAAGCATAAATGGATATTGTCCCCCTGCCCCATGTATCTAGAAGTAAAATTAAGAAATAATAAGAAATATTTAACAAATGACAAAGGACTTTCTCAACTAGGAATCAAAATATTCATAACAATTTAAACTCAGAACGTTATGAAACTGATGCTTGATATATGATAAAGGTATAAACAAAGGAAACACTGAAAGCATGTTGAAAAATTTGCAGTGTATAAAAATAATGTATCCCAAAATTCTAGCATATCTAAAAATAATTGTATATACAATAAAAAAAAAATCAGGAAAAAAATCTTAAATGAAGAGTCAACTTAAGGAAAGTAAAAACCCTTGGAACTTTTAGGACATGAATAGATACTTAACATAAACATGTATATCCTTTTTATTGTATAAACTACATAAAAAGATCAAAAGATAAATGTGAGAAAAAATGTATAATACATATAACAATGACTGGTATGAAACTTCAAGTGTCATTCTGTATCTGAGCCTTGTGGGTTTCTTGTTTTGGACAGTCAGAACTTGGAGGGCAAGTGAGGAAAACAAAGGATACTTTAAAAAAATCTTATTCAATGTAATTTGGGATGGAGTATAGCATGAATTATATAGCAAGAGTCCATGAAATATCTACCCAAATATAAATTTTTAAAAAATGTATTTTTGATACTGGGGATCGAACTAAGGACCTTGTGCTTGCGAGGCAGGCAGCAGCACCGAGATAAGTCCCCACCCATCCCAAATATATTTAACTGCAGAGTTTGGGCAGCCAAAGTTCAAACACCCAGGTACACCTGTATATAAAACCCCACCGGAGACAGAGACAAAGACCGGAGGAAGGAAGAGGGTGCCACTAAAACCAGACTGAAATGAAGGGAACAGTCATTAATCCCTATGTTTCAAAACTCATTTACGTGAACTTTAGGTTTTTAAAAAAAATAATGTCAATAGTTGGTAAAGATGAATGATAGCTACTTAATCATTCTACTCCTTAAACTCTATTCTATACAAATACTTGTACAAATGCAAAAACGTTTTCTAGAATAGAATATTAAATGTAGTTGTTCATTATACTGAAGAACTTGAGATAATCTAAGTATCAGTAGGGGAATGGTTGAAGACATTATGGTAAATCCTTATTATGAACTATGTTATAGTTTGTGTCTAGATGACCTCCCCTCCCCACAAAGCTTCATGGAGTCACAGGTGGGGCTTTTTCAGAGGTGGCTGCATTTAGAGTGTGATGGTAGGATTAAAGGTGTGATTACTAAATCAGCCTACTGATTGGTCTGGCCTGAAGACTGGTAGCCTAGATAGAATATGAAAGGGGCAAAAAAACAGCTGTTAGGGTCACCTGGACTTGCTTCTTCCCTCCTTTGTTGTTTCGCTACCTTCTGTCTGCCATGAAAGGTTTCTCCTGTGATGCCCCTCTGCCATCCCACCCTGCTTTGGAACCAGCCAATTATGGACTGAAACCTCTACCACTGTGAGCCAAAATAAACCTTTCCTCCTTAACTTTGGGTGCCAGGTATTTTGTCTCAGCCAATGAGAAAGGTACCTAAGACAAACTGTCATATAGTTACCAAAAAGAAAGAATATATAAGGGCTTTAAAAAAACCACATAAAAAACTAAGTTATAACACAGAGTGATAAAAATATACAGTAAATATGCCTACTACAGTAAAAGATGCATTAACACATTAGCAGTGGGGCCCTATGTGTGTACCTGCCCCATCGGGCGGGTTGTACATTCATCGTGACTGTCCCATGCTGCCTGATGGTGTGCTCCTGCATGCATCACTGGTGGTTCAAGCTAGCAGGAATGCATAAATCCTCCTGAAAATGTTCCCTTGTTTTGTTGAACACAGCCTTTACTCTTGCCACTTTCTGAAGTGATTCTGGAAATTCTCTTTTATGTGTTTAGGAGACAGGGTCAAAAATTTGGTGACTGCTACCTGGGCATGGTGGTACATGCCTGTAATCTCAGCACTCAGGAGGCTGAGGCAGGAGGACTGCTGTGAGTTTGAGGTCTACATAGTAAGTTCAAGGCCAGTCTGAATTATAGTGAGATTGTCTTAAAAAAAAAAAAAAAAAAGGTAAATGTTGTTACTGAGCACCATCCAATGGAAAGGCAGGCTGATAAAAACCTCACTGTGGGGTCGAGGATGTAGCTCAGTGGCACCACACCTGCCTTGCAAGCACAAGGCCCTGAGTTCAATTGCTGGTACCCAAAACATAACAAAAGCCAAAACATCACAATACATCCTCATCCACATATTCACCAGATCTAGCACTGTGTGAATTCTAGATCTTCCCCAAAATCAAAATGACCATGAAAAGTAAATGCTTTGAATCAATTCAGGGCACTGACGTAGCCATGACGGTACAACTAAAGACACAAAAGATGACTTCCAGAACTCTTCAGAAGGTAGAAAGAATGATGGAATAAGTGTGTTTAAAATAAGGAGGAGTATTCTGAGGGGGATTAATAGCAATGTGTATTTTACTGCAGTACATTTTAAAATGTTTAAAGCATTCACTGTAATGTTTCAATACATGCCTACATTATCTGTATTAGGATCCACCAAAGACAATAAAAGTAAGGCCAAAAGCAAACTGTTAATTTGGGGGAGGGGACTAAAAACAGGGTTATAGCGGGAGTGGAGAATATAAAAGAATCATTTTTAACTTTGTATTTCAAGATTCTTTCTTAAATGTTATAGCAGGTATTATTTTTACAATTAGGCAAGTATTATTTTAAGGTAAAGAATCAGAAATGCATCTCAACTCCTGACACTCATATGAAAATGCACCAAATACACCAAGCCTACTGACCATTACAGCTTAGCAACACAGTGCAGTAATTAATACAGAGCACTGGTTGCTTCTCCCTGTTCCTATGGCTGACTGGGAAGTATAGTTTGCTGCTGCTGTCCAGCATCTTTAGAAAGTAGCCAGGAAAAAGGCCAAAATTCACAATCCCAAGTGTAATTTCTATTGAATGCACATTGCTTCTGTACCATGGTAAAGTTAAGAGCTTACTAAGCTGAATTATCCCGAGTGGGGAACCACCTGTTAGATACATGTCAAAATGACACAGAATGAGACTTGAAGGGCCTTCTGCCAGGAACATTTGAACATCAAAAACTAAAGACAATACTATTGGCTATAGAGTATCGAATAAAAAGATATTTTCCATGTCTACAATATTTAAAAAAGTTCTTCTTTACGGAATAAAGTAAGCTAAAAAATGTAAACATAAGTAGAGAATTGGCTAATCATTTTGCAGTCCTCAGCAGATTCAAGCAAAGATCATGATTAACAAAGCACTGGAAGAAAGATGGTTGGAGATTATGTATAGTTTCAATGTAGCCACCTCTTCCCATTTACCCTAATAAGTAAAAGAAAAAAAACCTTTAAAAATGGGAAAAATATGGCAAATATCACCTTATCCAAATGACTAAGGTGACTATCATCCATAGCTGGATAAACTGATGCAATGTGCCTCTGAACACATTAAAACACAAAGGTTGTATTTCCTTTGTTTTCTTGTCAAATGTGTAAAACAATATAATCACAAAGAAAGAAACAGCTAAGTTTGAACACAGTGGGACATTCTACAAGAAAAATAGCTTGATCTTTTTCAAACTGTCAGCAACAAAAAAATCAAAAGAAAGTAAAAGAAGGATGTGTATTCTTAAAGAAAATGTAATGAATAAAGCTTGACTAGATCATAGGTTTTAAAAACCTATAAAGGACAGTATTGACAGTTGAGGGAAATATGAATATAAGATACATATTAGATGACACTGTAGTAATTAAAATTTACCAAATGTGATCACAGTACTGTGGTTTGATAGAGAATATTTTTAAACAAATACACACTAAAGTAGGGGTGAAGGCTATGCTTGTGACTTACTTTCTATGAGAATAGAAGGGAACAAAAGTGGCAAGATGTTAAAAACTGGTTCGTCTAAGTGAAGGGTACACAGACTGTAGTCCTCTTTCAGTTCTTCTTTGAAGGCTTAAATTTTTTCATATTAAGTTAGGAGGAACTAAACAGAATAA